ATTAGTTTAAATAATAGTGTCCAAAAATAAAAAATAAACTGTTAAATTATATATAATTCTCTTCTTTAAATTTATCGTATATAGATATGTATGTCATACATAAGTAGTTTTATTTATTATAATAATAAAAAAATATAATTTATTATGATATTGTATTGCAAGTGGAAATTTTATTTATTTTTCTGCAAGTATTACATAAAAAAACTTAAATACATCGAGATAGAAAATAGCGATCTCAATCTAGAGCGGACTTGTTTATTCGCGTTAAGGTGGCTTCTCCGAGAAACTCCCAGTTGCGTCTGGAGATTAAAGCAAATATTCGGATAATCCCGCAGGGCACCGATATGCAGCATTAAAGGGGCAATTTGAATTCAGTCGGCACGTAACCGCCACCATCGAATCCGCTTTTTCTCTTTCACATCGAAGTTGAGAACTATAGCGTTTGTACTATGCTGTTTTTCCCGTTTGTAGAAAAATAAATACGAAAATATTACTGTGAGATAAAAATACAGCCACGGCGGGCAGCTCTTTAATATCTCGAAAAGCGGTCTTTCATATTTCGTACAACGATAAAGAGAAGAGCTGTTTCAAAATAATAATCGATTTCTTAATCTATGATTGTTAATTTTACACATTAATATTTAAAGAAACTTTATTAATTCACAAGAAAAACTAACGGAATTGTTTTTCGATATCACGGCACATGGAATTTTAACACTCACATTCTCAAGAGTTCTTCAATCGAATATTTTCGACGCGCGATGCACCGCATTCGTAGCACACGATAAACGAGAAAGGAAGATAAGATGTCCGCGTGCGTTTCGGGATGAGTTTTACGAGCTCCGTTTTACGAGCTACTACTGAATGAATAAGTTACGACCTGATCGTCAGTAAAAGTCCGGATGATGGGAAAGACTCGCGGATCAAAAATTCATTTCCGCACCTCTCGACGCGCGGAAATCGTGGGGATTTATCCGCGTTTATTTTCAGCCAGCGGAGAAGAGCCACGGTTGATTTGAATTTCAACACGTTGCGCAGACATTTGAATAATTAATAGAATGTAATTATTACTTCGATCGAGATCTTATGATGGAAAAGTGGCGGCAAAAAATGCGATTAGATTCGACGACGAAAGTAAAGTGACGTTTCTTGTGAAAAATCGGTTATTAAAACGCATACGACTCTAAGAATCTTCGGCCGTTTCCATCACGTAAATCATGAATGATGAAATAAAATCAGAGAGAAATAAAATCATTTCACGCTGTGATTTTATTTCGTCGTTTGATCGATAGTCAACGAGATTGTGTTTACGTAGCGTTTATATTACACTGTGTGTGTCTATCACTGTGTTCTATCTTAAAAATATTGTCTAATATTATAAGAAAAATTAATGAATTCAGAAATATAAATAACTTGGGAAAGTATAAATTAGAGCACTATATTTTTTCTATAATGTCTATTTCAAATGATTCAAAATGTATAAATAAGTTCTCGTGATTTTTTAAAATACGCATCTATTACATAAATATAAAAAGAAACGGTAGAGATATTTTAATGAAAAACATTTACCTTTCGAATCACTTTTTTTCATTACCGCAATGAAAATAGTGAATCATGCAATGTGATGAACATGCATGTTTTTAATTAATTTATTATTCAATTAAAGTCATTTTCAATTAAATATATTTAACGGGGATCCTAAAGTGACAGAATTATCGGTATTAAAGTTAAAAAGTTCTTCGAATTGGCTGCAAGTTGTAAAATTCTTTTACATAATTAAATACTCACAAAAAAGATACGGAAAGTCGATTTAACTAGAAAATCGAAAACATTGGAATGATATTGGGTAAATATAGTTTTGTTAACTTTTTTCCGATTTTCTCGTTAAATCGACTATTTCTTTTGTGAGTATTTTAATTGTATAAAAGAATTTAACATTCTACAGCCAATTCGGAAAATTTTCTAACTTATAATGTCGATAATTCTGTTACTTAGAATTCCCTTAATCCCTTATCTAACTGCGAATTGTTGCATAACTTTCGAAGTGCAGGTTAGTCAAATTTAATGAAAAAATACTTCGGCACGAAAATTTAAATGCACCGTTAGTCATCTAAAGTTGACTATAAAGAACTTATTTATACATCTAATAAAATGTTAATTATGAAATCATTATCTATTAATTTTTTTGTGATTCTTCGATTTTGTTAAATGGTATATGCAAAAAGATAGAAAATTTGATGTCTTACGTGGTTGAGGTGAGAGAGAATTATCCGTTGCTATTGGAGGAGGAGGTGGAGGAATGATTCCACCTTCGGTCTTGGAAACCAAAAGTACGACGCGATCTTGGGTTGCTTTTAGGGTCGCCACTGCCTCTTCGTGTGTCACATTTTCCAAATTTTTATCGCCCTGCTGAAACCGATATATGCTCTTCTTTAATCATTGATTTAATATTGACTAGTTGATAATCGAAGATTATCGATTTTGAAACCCCGCCGTCTATTTCTTTGCAACAAATCAAAATTTGAAATACATTACATCGTTAACGATGTATACACATATAGAATGAACTGCTAGAAACTGTCATTTACATTTGCGTATAAAATCATATCGCGAAACAGAATACAAATGAAATATGAACGAGATACATTTTTTACGATTAAGGTAAATGTTCTAGTGAGCGAACTAGGTTTGGACATTTACACAAAAATTTATTTGTTTATATTAATCATTAATCTCAAATGCTTTTATAAATAATCTTTAAATACAATTAAATTATAATATTGTAATAAAAACACATTTGAGATTAATAATAATAAATCTTGTGTAAATGTCCGGATATACATGTCCAGTCACTAGGACGTTTACGTTATAGTATCTACATTAATTCTCTACACGTTTTATTCATTCCTTGTGCGGATATTGCTCCGGGAAATATCTCACTTTTCTCTTCTGTTTATCAAGCAACTAATCCTCTTCTCTCTTAAAGGAAGATACTAAGACAACTTGATATAGACGAGCGGTACACAAACAATTCGATGATGACATCACGAGCTACGATATCCTGTGATAATTGATTTTTCTCATTCAATTTCCTCTAACTCAACCTGTGGTCTCCTACTCTCATCTTCTTCAGTTTCCTTCCTTTCGTGCACTGCGATTGCCTTCTAATGCCCACTTCTACCAATGTAATTTAAATAATCTTAGTTCAATTAATTCTTCATCTTTTTCTAATTTTAAGAATTAAAAAAAGATAGCAAATTGAACCGAGATTAAAGTTAATTTACATTAATAGAAACAAACATAAGAGACAATTAGTCGCGATTATTATCGAGTTGATACGTATTAAAAGATCATATGCAATTCTAATTTTTAATCCGTTTGTGAATTGATTTTAAATTAATGAATAACAAATATAATATATCTTAATTCTCTGTGTGATGAAGTTTAATGTAACAAATTAATTAAGAAATTAGAAATGTTACACTTGACTGAAACTTGAAATTAGAAATCACCATTAAATTTTTTTTCTTTAATTAAATTACAGAATACTTTTTCTTTTATTTCTCTTTATTTATTTCTTTCTTTATTTTAATTGTATAATGACATAAAACTTTATATAATATAAATAACGTAATTGCTTGCACAAAATTACAGCATCCTCCGTAAAAAATATATTAACAAATTATATGTATCTATGCGATAATTAATCAAAAGATATAATTGAACAGATTTTATATTTTTAAGCGATAATCGGCGAGTGAGATTAAACATCTCATTCTCTAAGAATCAGCACGGATAGGAAAAGTAGATTAGGGCAGTTTTCCAAGACGCCGTCGAAGTAATTGATAGCTCTTCCGTCAGCGATATACAGCTTCCGTCGATGGCAAGTCGACCTCCGCTAGTCTACGATTTTTCGCTTCAGCGATTTCACCACCTTTAAGGCACCCATCTGGGAGTAGCGTAAAAAAAAAGCGCCGATTAAAGCCGCTGAACGGCCGGTTTGATTTATGACTGTCGCCGGAGGGTGAAGTGCAGAATATGCGCATATGATGGAAAGGCGCTTTCTCTTTTTCTCTTTATGGTACAAAAGTGCGTTGAAAGGCTTGCCTTTGCTATCTTTTGAAGGTGATAATCGGTAGTTAAGTTAATATCGAGATTGGAGCGCCAATTTTTTCCATTTCTAAACATACTTGCGTATAATTAATTGCAAATATATTTTTTTTTTCATTTTTCACAAATTAAGATGTTGATATAACAAGTAAGCAGAAAAATGAGACACTAAAATATCAAGACAAATTATCTTTAATTTTTAGTAAAAATAAAATAGAGAATTTAAAATTATTTATTAAGAATTTGATTTATTACCGAGGATAAAGTTAATTAAGAAAATTATTAAGAAAAAAAATTAAAAAATTTTTAGAAGTATTCAATTGAGTACTGATTCATTCTCTTTCTCAAAAGAAAAAAGAAGGAGACAGAAAGAGAGGGGGGAGAGAAAGAGAGAAAATTTATTATCAGTATAACATATATTTTATAAGAAAGGCAGAATCTTTTTAATTTTAAATTTAAGATTTTTTTATAATTTAATGAAAAAAAATTCATGACACGTTCCTTGAGATTGTCAAAAATAGATATATTTTAAGCAGATTTCCCACAGAACTCGTGTTACGAATTTCTTTCACTCCCGAATTATAAAATTTTAAAATTTATAATGGCGAAGAGATGAAAAGAATAGATCGAGACTCAATTAAATTTTCGACATGGAAATTTACTCGCAATCAGTTGTTTACGACAGTGTCCGGGAACTTTCTTGCCGTCTACGTTTTATTCTCCCGCGTGGCAAAGTAATTATCGATCGTACGTAATTAGTTTTGGCGCGCGTAAGTCCGAAGTTTTCGGGAGTAATTATAAAACTCGAAATGGCTCTCTCCCTCTTTCCAGACTTGTTGGAGATATTCTCTTTTTCATGGCAATTTATATATGCGTTTTCCGATCGCGAATTTATTTTCTACGCCTTCGAATGCTCTTTTATTTGTGTTTTGAATTGTATTCTGAAATCGAAGAAGATTCATGATAAGAAGGTATTCAGATATTATCGAAGAAGAGGAGTCAAAAGTCTTATCTTTATATATTCTCGATATTTCGATTCCATGAAACTTGTCATAAGTTCCATTTATCGTTACCATAAAATTTTAAAGATTATAAAGACGAGGGAGGATCTCTTTTGTAAGATGGCATGAAAATTTTCCCAATTTACGATAACGTTCCAAAACTTTTTTGCAATCTAGATATGTTTTATACAGAGTAATACAGTGTAATATTTTATTCCACTTAACATATCGTTCCCTTACTTTAAAAGTGATGTAACTAAAAAAATTAAGTTTCCCAAAAAAAGGAGGAAAATTATTTTACAATTTGATAAAAAATTATTAGCTAATCAAAATATTGGCAAAAGATATATATATTCTTAACATGAGTAAACGTTACATTTGTCATTTTTGTTTCATACTTCTTCAAAAAATTAGCTTTTGTAAGATATAACGATTTTGATGATTTTTTATCAAGTTAGTTCTTCAAATAAATAGAAAAACGTCAAATAAGGGCATTTAATTTTCGTGACAAATTTTTTACAGTATTTTAAAGTGCCAACAGCGTTATTATCAAATCAGTTATAATAATTTTAATTTGTAATATTATTACAAATTAAATTCAGTTTGTGTTTCAAATCCAATAGTAATTGCACAGTTTATATAATTAACTGTATTTGACATTTTCTTATTTGATTTATTCATATATCAATTTTGTAACTCGTTATTGTTTTAGTTTACTTTTGATGAGTAATAGGGTAATATTTATTTAACTTATTGAAAGTAATAACATGAAAATCACGTTTTTTTAGTTGTTGCAGAAGTTAAAAGAAGTTATTTAGAAGTAATTTAATAAATGATACATAACATGTAACATATGCATTATAAAGAGTCCCTTTTTTAAAACGATTGTTATCGCGAGATAGAGTCGTAATCAATGAACCTCAAAACCTACGATCTATACCATATTTATCTTTTCAAGAGAGAAAAAGAGAAAAAAGAAATATTGCCAATGGATAATTCCACAATTACTCTTTGTTAGAATGAAAAAATAATCATAGTCATCTCATTTTTTCTATGAACACGTGTCACATTTCGGTTACAAATAATCATGTTTTTCGATGTTTATAGGTAAATTTATAAGGCTTTGACTTTGAAATATTTATTGTGAGATGTTACGTGCAATTCAACGCCTGTCTTATCTTTATAATAATAATGTAATCCATAAAAAGATACGATATCATCTCCATTAAGCCGACTACATTACGCCAATATTTCGATGAAACAAACACGACGCAAAAGCTAAACTTGGTGTGTATGTATGTTTACTTACCAGAGCATTCCTGACGGCTACCAATTTATCGCCGACGACGAGGCGACCATCCACTTGGGCGGCTCCACCGTCCATGATTTTGGTCACGTAGATTCCATTGTCACCTGGTATATGTTGATTGCCAATACCACCGGCGATGCTGAAGCCAAGGCCCTTGTTACCCTTGATCAGTTCGATCTCCATCAACTGCGTGTGTTTCCGTCGGCGTACATACTGAAAATCAATGGGCGAACAAGACGTTAATTGAATATAGGAAAGAAGGGGGAAGGCTTGAATGAAAGCATCGCGAATGCCCGATCAACGAGTAAATTTTACAAATTTTAAGTGATGTCGCTTTTATCTGAGGAGCGTTTAAAAAAAAGCTTCGCGCGCTTTTTCATTCCCGGTGTAACAATGAATCTCCACGTAATTAAATGCCTGCCCGATAGCTGATCGGAGAGATATATCCTCTTTCAAACTACTCTCGTTTACTCGGTGAGATTTATAAAGTGGATTTGTTCCTGCTCGCCTTTCTCCTTAAGGGCCCGTTTATATCAATACTAAAGTGGTTAATTAAACTTTACACAAGGAAAGCATTGAAAGATATTTCGATTGCCGATATACTTCATCATGACGCAAATATTTAAAATATTTATTAATATTAAAATATTTATTAAAATTAAAATGTGCGAAAAGTACCGTTTCTGTTATCATTTATAATCATTGATTCTATAATAATTATACAATATAAAATAAAAGTAATTTGATAAAAAAGAATAACGTAATTTTTAATAATAATAAATATTTTTAATATTTGTATTAAATAAAGCGTTATTTCGATTACATGTTCATTTTTAAATTGTATTAATTTAGTAAATAAAATATAACGACTTCTATTAGATAAAAATGCATTTGATGCAGTATTTCATTTAATCTTAAATTAAATTAAATTGCGAGTCATCTATAAATCGAAATTGTAAAATTGAAATTGTGATCGTATTCCTATTTTAAAGATGCGTTTGTGTACAAGGAGGGATAGCTGCGACTTCATGTCAGAATAATAATATCTAGAATGGCCCGGTCATAAAGCTTTTATGTCTTCCTCATTGTTATTTCTAGCCTGGGAAGGTTAATAACGTGTTGACTCGTATCATCTCTCAAGTATCTTAAAAACATCTGACGATCCTCGAAAAAGTTTTTTTTTTTTTCCGAAATAATTTAGAGCTAATACTATTATCCAAATTTTTTTTAAAATCATCAGTCTATCTTTCAGAAAAGTATTCAATTGGTTAAGTTTTCTTAATTATCTTCGCGATTTTTACGTTCAACATCGGCCTTCTTCCCTGGAAAAGGAAGATACAACGACAATCTGTCTGGAAATTTTTTTTTAACACTGACATTAATGTATATCCGAGAGGTATGTAACGAATGATCCCATCGAAACTTTGCCTCATCCCTTGACGACTTTGCCAAGCTACAGAAATTTCGGAAGGCCCGGATGAATGATAGTCGCTTCGGGACTTTTCTTAGACATAAGCCAAAGATATTCAACACGTTTTTATGACAAATATGGAATTTGGAGAAGACCGTCAATCCCGCGGAACTTTTTGGAACTCGAAATGTCGCCATTAAACTGAAAAGATCGCAGGAAAAAATAGGAAGTTCGAGGCAGAAAGTAGAATAATAACGAAAGCAATTAAAATATTATCGATTTAACATCAAGACAAACGGTGCATGAAATATCGTTTTAATCTTAATTTTCAACAAATTAGAATGCATATATATATATATATAAATATTGATAATACACTGATAACGATACTGCTTAATATACAATTAATTAAACATTCGACTAGTAACTATTGGTGGGTAACTGAGAAATTGAATATGCATACACAGGTGAGTTTAACAGCAGAAAGCATACGCATTACAGCATTTGCAATTCAATTATTCCCGACACATTCGTCGCGCAATTAAATCTACGCACTTGAGATGTGCATATGATATGCCATGTGATCACAGTAACAATGTGTTGCCATTGCACTGCGGATACGATTCAATTAAATTCGAATTTGAGATTTGCATACATCAATTGCTCAGGGTACCGTACTCAGCATCTTTAATGTCAGTTAGAATTTGCATTAGTTAGTTGCATCTTTCCTTACAACATTTTGATCCGGATATCACGACTTTATTTTTTATTGTCAAAAAGATATTTGTATTTTCTTAACCATTTGTGATCATACTTCTCGAAAGTTTTGTAATGGTCACACCGGAGCAAAATGCCTCCTGTGCATATTTAACCAGTTGCTGTATTCATAGATTTTGTTCTTTAGAATAAAAAAAAATTGCTGAATATAATTTAAATATTGTAGAAATAAAAAGTGATTTTGTAAAGATTTTAATTTTAACCTATTAAAAAAAATTGGGTATACGTTTTTTGAAAAATAAATTTAAAAGAAAAATATTTTTAATTTTTTTTTTAATAAAAAATTTATTTCTATATTCTACAGATTTGGTATTTTCAGAGAAAATAGTATAATATTTCACGATTAATGTTGTAAAATGATCCCAATGCAAAAATAATATTACGTGAACAGCTACTATAAGCATATTGACGCGAATCTTAAATTTCAGATAAATGACATGTCAAATCCTATTTTGAAATAGAATTTGGAGATAAATCTTTAAAAGTTTTTTTGGGATCAAATTTGCATGTCTAACCACGAAAAGTTAAATAATTAACATTTTTTTTTAACTTAAAAATGTTACCTTCTCAACATCAATGTTGTGTTAAATTATTACTTGATATTGAGCTTGTAAAGGCACGTTAATGCAACAAAGCAATCTGCGATAGGAACGAGTAACTTGTAAATGGGCTTGTATCGGTGCACCGAGATTGGAGAATAGAGGGTGAAGCTTACCAGTTTGACGGTGTTGCCGGCCCGCTTGAGTGCGTCTACGGCGGCCGCATGTGGTACATCGACAACGGACACGTCGTTCACTTGCAGTATCGTGTCATTGACACGTAGTCGACCATCCGCGGACGCGGCACCGCCCGGTATAAGCTTAGTGATGTAAATGGCGGTATCGTTGCCGTAATGGGGATTGTCTGTGCCGCCAGCAATGCTGAAACCTAGGCCCGCCCCGCCTCGCTCCAAAATAATGTCTTCATAGTCCCACTCATCGTCGCCATTCACCTGAAAACATAAACATGCACTTAGTATTTATTATCTCTCTCTCTCTCTCTCTCTCTCTCTCTCTCTCTCTCTCTCTCTATCTCTCTCTCTGCAACTTTTATATTTGTATAAATATAATACATTTTCGGTATATAAATTATATTTATCCTCATTTATGCTTGTTTCCGCCAACGTAGATTAATTTTAATCTCGGTTCAACTTATTCTTCATCTTTTTCTAATTTTTAGAAAGAACTAGAAAAAGATAAAAAATAAGTTGAACCAAGATTAAAGTTCATCTGTTTTTTAAATTGTGAAAACGAATATTAAGGAGTTCTAAATTTTTTTATAATATATTTTATAAATAGTGTTAGAATTAAGCACGGATCACAAATATGTTTCTCCGACTTTTCAACCAAATCTTCGGCTCTCTGGCAGAAAATTTGATGACTTATTTGTAAGGAAAGTTTGCGCGTCGGTTTTTCCTAGGGTTTTTAGAAAGATATCTCCGGTAAGAGAGTCAAATCTGATAATCTTTTTGTAATCTCCAGCTGGAGAGTAATCGATCTTCAGTGGAACACTAGTTGAAAAGTGACAATCAAAATCGAAAGGTGATCACAAGTACAAAGAATAAATGTAGATATTATGAGAATTATATAATAGAAAGAACATTTAATCGAAGAAACATTTAATCTCGATAAAAGATTAAATTTTTCTGACGAGAACCAATGACGATGTTGATGACGCAAAATCCAAATTTCTATAATTGCGCGAGATGATTTAAATCTCTGCATGGCAGAGAAAGGTTAAACGATTAATTGATTCTAAGATCTTACATGAGAGCAGATTAGGTCGTGCAGTGCCTCGATCAATGACGGTCAGTTATTGCGAGAACAAAAGAGCGTCGTTTAAACTCTCGACACCAGCTGACGCGCGTCGTACATCGAATCGCTATATTTCTATAGTTTTCATTGAAGGATATATTTATTTGTATCGCATGTGGCATGCAGGATAATGGAAAATTTCTGATGAATATAGACAATATACCTCGAAGGAAACTAGAATGGTTTTTCGATGTTTCGCTCAACTGACGCAGTTAAGTGAAATATCTCATAATATTGATATCTCGGAGCTACATGCAATCGAAGACAGGAGAGACAGAGTCCGACAAATGAAGTTTCAAAGATGTTTATTTATTTTATTAATTCCGTGAAAACTTTATCTCGTTATAAGTTTTTCAACGTATGTGGAAAATTCTGACAAGTATGATGATGTTGGCCTGGCAAAGAAATTCGTTACCGGAACTCGAGCGTACTAAACGATCGTCATCCAATTAATTTTGGACTTTGTTGGCACGTAACATCGTTTTAATATTCTATAATGACGCGATAATAAAAAAAAAATCGGCCATGTCAGTATCGGCTATCGCTATGTTTTTAAAGTTGCATTAAAATTAAAGTACATTAAAATAAGTCAAAATAAATAAAAAAAGTGAAAAATAAATTCTATCACTACAAACAAAAAAAAAACGAAAAAACATTAAAAACATTAAAAAAAATAGTATTAAGTGAAAATGGAAAACCGCGAAATGTTTACGAATGAGTGAAGAGAATCATCAAAGCAAGTTCTTGATGCTTAGTTTTATATAAATTTTTTATAATTTTCACTTTCGCATGCCAATATATATAATTCTTTACAATATAAATATTCATTAGTATCAATAACATTAGACTCATTGTTCAATTTGTGATATTATGTATTTCAATTTTAATCATCTTAGGCTATCTTCAAGATCGCTAATAATAATCGATGCATAATTTGTTTGAATTGGAAATTGTAAAAAAATTCACACAAAAATATTATTAGGCACCTAGACCTGCCGAGTACATTCCTTTTCACTCTTATTTTTGTTTAAAAAATAAATTTATGCACGAATAAATTTATACATGAACGTAAATAAGTTTATGCAATATGTGAATGTATTGTAAAGAATATTTTTAATCAATGTGTAAACAAAAAATAATATTTGAATGTGACAATTGTATTCCTGGTTTAAAAAATCTCTATCAAACACAAGCAAATTAATTATATGAGCAGTATAAAAATTTCTGTATGATTAATATGATTTCCAAGCGATTGTACGCCTAATAAAATAATACGGATTTCCTTTAGGAGAACAGCTACCAAAGGTCCTTCACGTGCACGATCGCGCAATGCAATTATGCATGATCCATTGGAGTGCAAAACCATATTAATCGGATCAAAAGCCAACTAAGCCGTAGGATAATATACTAGAGACACGTTCTCGTAGTACGACGCATTGCGTATACTCGGATCAGCGTATTACATTCACTTTCGTGTACGTACAATTACGATACGTTTAAAGTAACACGATTCGAAATGCTTTGAGCTAAATAATGTAAATTGATAGATTCGTGACAATGTCATGGTTGATACAAGTAACATCATAATGATATCAATAATCACTTTGTAATTGGTGTTACAAATCTCTTATTATATCTTGCATACTACAACTGCGTATTTCAAAATTAAAAATGTCCTCAGATTGTGATGTCATTAACAGATTAATGCCCATGTCTAATTTCTACTGTCCAATATAGATTAACTTTCAATTTGGTTCAATTTACTCTTCATCATTTTCTAATTCTTATAACTAGAAAAAGATGAAGAGTTAATTGAACCGAGATTACAAATATCTACATTATATTATATTAACAGTATAGATGAGAAACGAGCATAAAAGATTCATTCTCGCCATAAGATCAGATATCAAAGTCACTACTCGTAATCACGAAAGGCATGTAACGATCAATTCTTTTCGAAATCGCCAACATCGGGAGCTGTCGACACGAAGCTATCGTGATTTTCAACAACGTTACAGGTTTTTTAGAATGCATCTCGTTTCATGCAATATATAGTTAAAGGCTTCGTACAGTACAGGTCATTATTGCAATTATCCATCTACGTATTTGACATTCCGATCGTGTTGCAGCACAAACGGACAGTACGGAAGGCGAAAGGATCCGTATCTCTATACTCTCTCTCTCTCTCTCTCTCTCTCTCTCTCTCTCTCTCTCTCTCTCTCTCTCTCTC